CTCGGACCATCAGATGTTGTAAGTATTTCATTTTCTTTTTGAATTTTAGAGAAACTAATAGCTAAGAGTTTGCTTCTAGTTTCAGAGAAGATTTTTTTAAATTTTTTTTTTTTTTTTTTTTTTTTTTTTGTACCAGGGATTGAACTCAAGACCCTGCTCTTGCCAGGAAAGTGCTTATTCTACTGAGCTATCTAACCGGCCCTCAGAGGAGATTCTGGACTAGGAACTTTCATCAATTGTGGAATTGTTAAAGGCTTTGATGACTCTTAGAGATTGACTAAATTCATCTTGCATAATGAGATTTTTATTAGCATTTTGCAGGCCAGGAGTAGAATGTTATGGTTTAAATCTAATATGTTGCCCCCAAATTCACATGTTTGGAATGTGATTGGATCAGGGGACACTGTACTCATCAGTGGATCCAATGAGGAGTTTAATAGCTGAATGTGTTGTTAGGAAATGGGGGACCACATCACTGTGGTCATTATGGAGAATGGTGTATTCTTACTCTCAGCCTTGGAGGTAGCCAACAGTGGAATGAAATCAAAGCCACAATAGATTTCTCCTTCTTTAAGATGCAGTTTGGTGTTTTGTCCCAAAAACAGGAAAGTCAATAGTGCAGTTTGTGTATGACTTTTGACAATGGCCATTTTAATGATATTAATTTTATCTGTGCATGAACAGGAAATGTCATGCATTTTCTAATGTCCTCCTTAAGACTTTCTTGGGAATTCTGTATGTATTTTATATTATAAAAGTCCTTCACTTCCTTGGTTAGGTTTTTTTTTTTAACATATTTAGTACAGGGTCTACAAGGGTCTCACTACACAGACCAGACACGTAGTGATCCTCCTGTTTTCAGCCTTCCAAGAGCTGAGATTACAGGCATATGCCACCACTCAGAATCTCAATTGCTGTCTCAGCATGCCCCAGAGGTGGGGCAGGAATGGCATGCCAGGGATCAAACCCTGGTCCCTGCAACTGCCTAAGCAGGTACCTTAGTCTGCTGAGCTATCTGGCGAGCTCCTTTGGTTAGGTTTTGTTCTAGGTATTTGATTTTTTTTGAAGCTATTGTAAATGGAATTTTTTCTTGATTTCTTCCTTGTTGAGTTCATTATTGTTATACTAGAATGTTACTGATTGTGTGTATTCATTTTGTATCCCCCCACTTTACTGAATATCAGTTCTGACAGTCTTCTAGGGGAAATTTTGGGGGTCTTCTATGTCAAGGATTACACCATTTTCAAATGATAATTAGACTTTTTCCTTTCATATTCCTGTCCCTTTTTATTTCTCTCTTATCATGGATATGTCAGGCCTGCAACCTCCCAAATGAGTGGACAAGAAAGATTTAAATACAAGAGACAAGTGGTATGATTTAGTGCTCCAAGAAGATCAAAACTCTAGTAGAATTCAAGATTCTGTGGGAGCTCAAAAAAGTTCTGTGAGTGGCCATATTTATTTGCCTTTCAAACAAAAGAGTGGACTACTGAGGACAACATGACAAATGAGTGGGGCCTTGGCAGTAAGTGCAAAGATTTCCCTAAGTGTTAAATTATGCTAATTAGGAGACTCTCATATCTCCAGGTTGATAGTCACCACAGGAGTGAGATTTTGCAGTTACAATCTCTACTTAGTAACTTAGGGCTGGAGCCAGGCATCCTCAGCTGTGGCCTTATATTGTCCTTTGAGGTATCACTGCCTCACAGGCCACTACAGACCTCAGCCAGACCAGTGACTCCTAGAGGTTCACTTACTATGAGTCCCCTGCTGATCTCCAGACAAAGGGCCTAGGCCTAGGACAGACTTACAAGCAAACATAGAAATCCAATTGATTAAATTTAAATCCTTCTCAGAGATTCTTCGTGGTGGTCTCCATTAGGCCCTGGCCTGAGTGCCCCACTTAAAACCTTATACTATATTGAACAGTACTGGTGAGAATGGAAATCCTTACCTCACTCCTTATCTTAGAGAAAATGATTTCAAGACTTCCCCATTTAGTATGATGTTGGTTGTGGGTTTGTCATAATGGTTTTATCAGTTTAAGATTATATTCATCAATAAAAAATCCTACTTTCATCAGGATTTTTTAATCATAAAATGGCCTGAGATTTTTGTAAAGGATTTTCTCTGGGTCTTTGAGGTGATAATGTGATTATTACCTTTAATTCTGTCTA